GTACTTTATTCTATTAACTTGTACTAATTCTTGATTTTATAACTTTATTTTCATACACTCATCTTATTTATTTCTTTTTAAACACAATAACATTTTTCTTTTCAACAGAGAACTTAAGTCCCCATTGATTTGCCCATTTCTCTATTCTATTTCATCTTGTATATTTTAAAAAATAAATTCTACTTTACGACCCCTTTTTTTATATTTCCATTAATTTCCATATTTTGTAACTTAATCAGTCCCTTAACCCACATCATGTCGTATACTTTTTCTATATAAAAAAATACAGCAACTACACTTTCTTTATTTACTTGAGCCTTTCTGAATACATGCTCTAAAAATAGTGTTGGATCATTAGTATTTCTCCTCTTTTTTAAAACACTCTAAATCTTAGAAACGTATCCTTTAATATTCAAAAAATTTGTTAATAGGTTATTTATCATTTATTCCATCAATTTGCATATATTCTACGTAAGCAATAGGACGATAATTTTCTGTTTTACAATGATCCTTCCCTGGTTTAGCTATTGGTACGAGGACTGACTTCTTTCAGCTTTGTGGCAGCACCCCTTCCTTAGTATAGAGTTCTAAAATTATATCTTTAGACATTGCACTTAAATTATTTATCATGATGCACCAGATCTGATCTTTACCTGGTGCTGTATTTTTGTTTTCTTTAGTTTATAATTTAATTTTGCTTTCAAAACTTAATTTATTATTTCTATCTTCATTTATTTGTAGCAAATCTTGGTATTTTAATTTTGTGGCTTCTCTCCCCCTCTTTCCCTCGCAGAAAATTGATGACATCCGGCTCCTCTTAGGCATCCAGGTAATAAGGCTGATGATTTGCAGGTGCGTTGTCCCCACACCTGCATCCGATGACCCAATCTCTGAAGCAGCTCCAGGAAAAGCCCTCTGATGGAAAAATCCTCAGTCACAGCTACACCCTTACAATATCACTTTTATTTGAATTTGCTTCTGCTGCTGTTGGACCATCCAGCAGCACCTTTCTGCTGAATTTCACAGCACATGATTTTCCAATAAACTGCCAAAGTATGTGTTTACTTGTGGTTCAACTTGGAAGGCTTTAGCGATTATTGGCAAGTTTTAGTGCTGACTTGGAGTGAGCGACTGTACCTGATGCTTGACTCCTTTCATTCTCTCTCATTGCTGCTAGAAACAGTGAAAGAAACTCTTGTTTTCTTTTACATCCTGAAGACCTCTGAGCTCAGAAAGCAGATATTCATCTCATAATTTCTCTACTGAAGCTGCCCATAAAGCTTGCTCTCTGCACTTTTCTAGACATACAGTGTACTTCTATGTTTATTTTGTAAGTCATAAGTATTTGATTTTTGTTTTACTTTTTTCTTCTATATTTGTTAGATATGAAGTTGGTGATACTTTTGGCTATTATAACTGGTAAGTTGTTCTTTTTATTTACTGATTTTAAGTAAGAAAATAAAATTAGAATTACAGCTAAAACATCATTTTGAGTCACTCGATATGCCATAAAGCTTTTTAGCTCTGAATCAAATTAAATTCAGGGAACATTAACAGTACCTTATTTCCAGCGACAACCCTTACTCTAATTTATTGGAAACTTTCTGCAATCGGCCTCAGTGAATTAGCTAATATTTTTAATTTTTACAAATAGAATTATTATTTTCTCTCCTTCTGAATGGAGAACCTCCATTGCATCCTAAAGCCTTTTTCAGCCTCTAAAAGCTTCTCTTCCAATTTGTTTGTTTTTTTCCATCTATTTAAAGTGGGCAAAAAACTTAGGTTTCCACAAAAGTAAGAAATCCCATAAAATTTCCCTTATGGGACTTCTTACCGCTTTCTTGAAATGGTATCTTTCTTTTTACTGCTTTTCCCTTTTCTGGACTGCAGCGCTAAACTTGATCTAGTGGAAATTTCCCACCTTGGCTGTGAATCTCTTAAAGCTTCTCCAGTGACTAGAAATCTTTTGGCAACCTTTCTGATTAATCTGTTGCCTTGGTAGGTGTAAATGTGCCATACTATCCATTTTTTGGTTAAAATGTTTAACGGCGCTTGCTTCATAAATGCTTGCTCAAGAAAAAGCAACCAGGGACTGCTGACGGATTTCCTTTAACATCATACATTCCCCCAAATGATTAATGATGGTGAATTCTTCACTCCATTTTATTGTGGGATATTAGAGTAAAGATGACCACAAATGCCACATCTTTCTTTTTTCTTTCAGATAATTTTATGTATCACTTTATCATTACTTTTTGTTCTATTCCAAAAGCATTCTAATATAAAACATTAACATTAAGATGAGAAAAAAAACATTTTAAGTGCTTTTAAAGAAGAACTCCCATAATTGTTTCAATGGTGTTAAAAGATAACTCTTAGACAATTTTAAAACTGTCACCTATAACTTTTTTTTTTTAAATACAATTTGTTTACCCTCCTTTTTACATAAATAGTAATCTGCTTTTGTTTTCAGGTGTGTTTGCTGCTCCATTTATTAAAGAAGAGATGGCAAAGAAGTTCATCAGGCAGAAGAGACAGGATGGATACTGGGATCCCCACCACTCTCAGAATGCCTGGGGTTTCACCATCCAGGAACAGGTAACACTTGGCAGTGTTTATGGTAATTCTTTAAACACACAACATTTCTGTCCAGTTAAGATGGAGACACAATATTGCTGCACTGGTACTCAATACAGAAGCTTGGAAAATCTTGCAGTTAATACTTATAGATGTACTTGAACTTGAAAGGTAATTTCTCTGGTCTTTAGGCCAACGAGCAATGGACGGCAATTCGAACAGCTGCTCAATACTACATGGACATGGGCAGCCTGATGTTTGACCCTGTTGTGGCAGAGTGAGTCAATCTTCATACTTAGCTCACTGCTGAACTTTATGGAAACCATTAATCAAGCTAACTTAAAATGTATTTTTCAATATTAAATCAAATATATTATGATTCAACAATAACTCTTCTTTTTATGTGGGTGTGTTTTAGTGAGAACACCAGGCAGTTAATGGAGATGCTGCGAAATGTACAAGATCACCTGGACAGCCAGACGGGTCGATAAAGACAGAAAACACCAAGAGAGGAACAAGACTTCGTGATGAAGACACAAATATGGAGACTCTTATTTTTAAGGCCAGGATTTTGATGTAAATGGGATTTATAGATTGTACAAATAAGAGTGGATTTTATTTTGGTCTGTACTTGTCTGTGATGTCTCTGTGTTTGAAGAAGTCATCATCTGAACAACTTCTGTCTTTTATTGGAAATGATTTTTACAACCTTAAATGTAGCCTTTTTAGACATATGCCCCCAAAAATGCTTCTATTCCTCTATTCTTTTCATCCACTAAAGGTGATTATAAGCCTCTCGGTGATTATTAACTTTCATTGATATTCATATACATATCAACTAAATAAGCAGAAAATGTAATAGAAATAGCATTAAAATGAAAAAAAAAGATCTTTATGAAAAATATCATTCACATTATAAACCGTTGCATTTCTTCTGAATGAACTTGCATAAAGTCAAAGGTTAAATTTGAATGTTTTTATTTTGTTTCAAGTTTTAGTTTAACCATTTTTTTTTTGCATAAAGTCAAAGGTTAAATTTGAATGTTTTTATTTTGTTTCAAGTTTTAGTTTAACCATTTTTTTTTTTTTAACATTTCGGTCTTATATGATTTACCACTCAGTGGCAAAACTAACAGTAAACATTTGCTTACTTGATAAGTCAGCAATTTTCTCATTTCTTTATTGCAGCCTCTATGTTAACACAATGCCTGCAGTACATAAAAACTACATTTATTTTTCCAATACAACTAGGAAAAAGAATGCAATTAAGTAAAACAAATAAATCCATGGCTTATCTAAAATGCTTTTAGTGCCATAAAATGCCAATTACTTCCAAACAACTTATGATAATCAAATACATTTTTCATTCTTAGAGAGCATATTAAAATACTGTTTACAATTACCAAAGAGAAATTTAATACAAGAGCTTTGAGTATCAACTATTCTATTTTTTTTTTCAATCTCTTTAAGGGTTTTACAAAAAATCTATAAAGTGAAATTCTTTGATATTTTTTTTATGGGAGCTCTAAATGATTGTTTTCATCTTGACAAAGGTATGCAGAAAAAAAACTAACATCTATGGAGAACAAATGTTTTGGGGCAAGTGAGTTAAGTGCAAAACTCAAGCTTTTCAATTCTATATGCATAAATAATTTTTACTCTTTGGACTCCAATTCACTAAAGATCAGCTTTTATAACTTATGGAAGGGTGAAGTTAGACGACTTGCAGAGCTGAATATTGGATTGTGAGGAAATGTTTTAAAAATAAGATGGACTCAAGGAAGTGCTGTAATAGCTGAACTGTTGTGTATTTTAAATGCAAACAAATATGTACAGTTGTGCTTGAAAGTTTTCATACCCATCCATTAAAGACAGAAAAAAAAATCAGCCACCAGGGAAATAAATTGAAATTTACAAAATTAAAATAATGAAAATTGGAAATCATAACATTGATGGTAAATGGCATGTACTTATATAGCGCCTTTATTCAAGTCAGGAGACTTGACCAAAGCGCTTTACACTACATTCATTCACCCATTCACGCACACACTGATGGTGGCAAGCTAAATTGTAGCCACAGCTGCCCTGAGGCTCACTGACAGAAGTTGGGCTGCCGTACACTGGCGCCACCGGGCCCTCTGACCACCATCAGTTGACAATGCAGGTGAAATGTCTTGCCCAAGGACACAACGACAATGAAAGTCGGAGCCGGGGCTTGAACCGTCAATCCTTCGATTTCAACGCCACTGTCGCCCCTATTTGATTTCAAATATCTATAGATCTATCTATAGATCTATCTATCTATAGATAGATAGATCTATAGATAGATATATAGATACTTTCCATAAGATCTATATAGATAGGTTATGTAAACTTTTAAGCACAATTTCATTATATATATATATATATATATATTTGCTCAGCTTTAACTTAATATGTAATCTTGATTTAAGATTTTCAGCTGCCTGAGAAGGCTACAGTGTTTGTTACTGGTGTAAAGGAGGCTCCTCGGTTGCAGATGGAGGAGGGATTTTCAGGAACATCTGCAGGGCTGGAGTGAAGATAAGGATGGTGCCCAGAATTGAGACAGTGAGGAAAGCCCACAAGAAGATTCGGTCCAGCACCTGGGCAACAAACTTCCAGTCTTGGACCACCTGTGGAAAACAGAAATCCGACATGAATTAAGGGTAAAACAATAGGAGCAGATTTTTACCTATAACTGTACACACCTCACGAATGAAGTGCTCTTTGCGGATATGTCTGCTGATGTAACGCACTGAAGAGATGGCTTTCTCCAACATGGTGGCCCAAGCTTCTTCCTCTTTCTTTCCATCAGAAGCTGCCTGTCCATAAGTTCCACTGCTTGTCCTCTGGCCTCCCCTCCGACCTCCAGAGCGAGACTTCATTTCAGGACTATCCGGAGCCAGCTCCGGGTAGTGGTACCGGTCAGTGTGTCCTCGCATACAAAGCAGCCTAGGTAGTTTTTGAAGAAAAAGAGTACGAACCCAGGGCGACATTGGGTGGTAGGTGGCTGAGGACCGATGGTGCACATTGATGACGAAAACGGTGACAATGATCGAAAGTGTGACAAAGATCATGATGAAGAGCAGATATTCTCCAATGAGAGGGATTACTTTGGAGGAGGAGGGAATGATTTCCTCTATGACCAATAGGAACACAGTGAGAGACACTAGGACAGAGGTGGAGAGTGATAGCTTCTCACCCTCATCTGAGGGAAGGTAGAACACCAGGACAGTAAGAAAGGACAAACCCAAACAGGGGATGATGAGGAATAGTGTGTAAAACAGTGGCAATCTCTTTAGGATGAAGGAGTAGGTGATAAATGGGTAGGAATACATTCCATCCCTCCTGTTTCCCTTGGCTCCAGTGGCACTGAGTATTTCCCACTCGCCATTATCAAAGAAGTCCTTTCGATCAACATGGTTTTCCATCAGAACAAGATCCACCATGTTGCCATCATAGGTCCACGACCCAAACTTCATTGAGCAGTTTTGTCGGTCGAAGGGGAAAAAGGTGACATCCATGGTACAGGCAGATTTGTAACTAGCAGGCGGTCTCCAGGTGATGGCACCATTGTGCTTTACGATGGCTTTGGTCATCAGGGAGCCCTCAAAACGTCCATCAGCACTGAAGCAATAAAAGTTAAAATCAGGAATTTTTGTTTCCATCATATCTACACAGTGCAGCACTGCAAACCTTCACAATATATTAATTGTTGTCAATGGAGTAAATCAAATAAAGTAAAAAAAACTGAGTATAAAACCCTAAAAATGATCAGTTAAAAATAATGTACAGTTATATTTAGTTTATTTTTCACACTAAATTAGTTTGTAAATTGAATGACAACCAATTTACAAACTAAAACCAATTAGACTGAGTTGCTTTCACTCTAGCTGGTGTTGATAATTGCATCTGGTTTTGGGTGTGTATGCCTTTTCCCCCTACGCCAGTTTAAAAACGTATGGAGTATGTACCAGTGAAACCCATTATGTTTCTTCTTGAAGGTAACTAAAATAGTTTTCTGATTTACTGGTGGTGGCCTGTAACTGGTAACTGGTTACCAGTTTGAGACCCAGCTCCATCGGTCTCAGCTGTGGTGTCCTTGTCCTACAGTAGAGCTTCACACACCTCACCAGTTTGATTGTTTTTTAGCCTTGTTAACATCTTTGTAGCTCTGACAACAATCCAACTACAGTGTGCAAATGACTAATGTATGGAGTGCTTGGACTATACAGGCCATAAACACATGATGTCAATGTGTTAACAACTAATCTTAACACATTAGCAAAAGAAAAAAAAAAGCATGATTTTTCGGTTGTAAAACTTTTCTTAAATTTGTACTGAAATTACACCACATATGTTTAAAAAACACCTTTGAAAAGTGTCAAATCTACTGATTTTGCTGTGTACAAAGGAATAACTGGATTTTTTTCTTTATCATTATTTGTAAACCCTCCTTTTAGTTTACAACATATTAGGATTGGTCCTTTGCCCATAAAAATACAAATGTGACTTGATGTTAATAAACTGCAGTGTCATTCAATTACCACCAGGTGGAACTGAAACACATAACATGGGTTTGCGATAAAAGCAACAACAGTCAGTTGGTGTGAGGGATGAGTGTGCATCTTACTTCTCATACAGGACAATGTCTGGGAGCCAAATATTTTCTGAAGGAACTCTGATGGAGGTAATCCCACAGTATTTATCTGGATTCCATCGCAGCTTATAATCAATCCACTCCTGGCCAAGATAGACACAAAGCATGTCATATCTCCACTTTGCAGAACACAACACAAAAACAATATTTGATTAAAATAGATTATATCAGATTGTGTTTGTGATTATCATTTTCTTTCTTGCTGTTCCGCTAATTATAAGACTTCACCATGATTGCTTATGAATGTGGTGAAAAGAAAATGTCTTACCTGAGTCAACCAGACATTGGTTGTCATAAGCTGGTTTTTCTCATCCTTAAATAAAGAACAAATATCAAGTAAAGTATTAAAGTATCTATTTAGTATAAAACAATATAAAACACAATAACAGAGTTGAACTTTTAGAGCAGAACACACAAAAAGCCTGAAATTTTAATAATCATATACACTATTTGAGCAAAGATTATTAATCTATATTTGTTAGATTTATATGATGCTTTCAGTTATTTACATAAATTAAGCTAATCAAATAAAAATATTATTTATTTTATTCTTATTATATGTAAATCATATTTTGAATTTTGTTGAACTGTCTTTTGTGAAGAATGCTTTTAGGTTATAAAAGTATTTCATGTTTGTTTTTTGTTAATATTCTATTTTGTATATATTTTTTGCATACTTTTTATTTAATTCATATTTATCAATATTGATCAGGCAACAGCTGTAACTATTTTCAAACAAACTTATTTACCTACATTGTTCTCTTTGCTGTTTAGCTGTTCTTTTCTAGAAGTTACTCGTTTTCAAAAAAGGTTATTTTTAATAAACAAAAAAATATATAAAAAAAAATAGAGTGCTGTGGAACAAACAAGGGCAATGCAAATATATACAGATATTAAACAAAGGTAGCCAGAAAATGATTTTTGGGAGTTAACTAACTTATTTTCACATCCCTAAAAGTAGGCTTTAGACAAAAGAGAAAGCTTTGGTGAGATAAATGTTGGAAATGTGAGCTCCAGCAGATCATCCCGTCCAAGCCTCAGCTGTCAGAGGGAGTTGGATGGTTTGGTGATCACATAGACCAGATGTGGACCATAATCTAATACTGAGCAATGCAGCAGCCCAGGGAGACTCTGGGGACATAAAAAAGCATAGCCAAGCTGTTGTGTTTACTGTTAGCCCTCCTCCCGTTTCTCTTTGCAATCTCTGTTTGGTTCAGTAACAGAAGAGCCCTCTGTTTATTTATTTAGTTTCTTTCAGTGAAAAGAATAGTAAGTTAAATTTAGCCTGGCTGAGATAAATATTTCAAACAAAGAAAAGTACTTCCTCCATCAGGCTGCTCAGTTTGCTTTTCTGAAACACATAAACCATCTCAACCTTTCACAGATAGCTCCTGAAACATTTAGAGAAAACCAGGAGGAGACTGTAGAGCTTGAGATTTATTTTAAAGGCTTGCAGAGCTTCAAATTGTGCCACTATCAGCTTTACGTTTGAATTTAGCTCTATGGAAAGACAAACTGTTCAACTAAAGAATGAAACATTTGAATTAGTGTTTTTTTCATTTGTATTTCCCTGAATTATATGTGTATTTGTCATGGATTTCTATTTTAGTAAGTATTTTTACCATAAACAAGTTTATTCATATTAGATTTTTTTTTTTACCTAGTTAATATATTTAAAGTTTAGGAGAAAAATATTCTATTCGGCAAAATCGATTAGGCTAGTCTTGCTCCACACAATAACAATTAGCTAAAATGGTGCTCCAATAGTTATCAGCTGACTGACTTTCCCATTGGTTTCTGCAATGTAGCAGAGCTACACTGTAAAATGAATTTAAATTTTGTGTGTTTTTTTGTTTTGTTTTGTTTTTTGCATTTTTGTTAAGCAGTTACACTTTGTTAAAGCTGAAACAACAATTTCTCCTCTAACTGCGTTAAAAGTGTGACTAAATTTCACTTTAGAGGTCAGACTAAAGTCAAGGTGCATTGATACAAACATGAAGCTGTTTGTTAATTTTTTGGTTCACTTTTACAACACCTTTTCATTAAAAACAATATTCTGTACCTTCATGTAGTTTAAGTAGAGCAGTAAAACCGGATGCCATAAGAATGCATTGCTCTTGAATCACATTAATTTTATCAACAGCTATGCTAGGCTACCACAGATTCTTTTTTAGGTGCCTAGTAACTCTACTTTCCTGTTTACTTTAGCAAAAAAAATATATAATTTTGAATATCCAATAGATTGTTTATCCTTTAATAAGAAAAATAAACCTCAATACATCAGAACCAATCAACTATGAAGCAGTTAAAGACAAAACGCAAAACCTATTTTGGGACCCCATTACACATGCGTTGCTCCCAGAGAACATCAAAACATATATAGTTCAACAATATAGTTCCTAGACATATGAAAACTATTAATGCTCTACTATTCCCTTCATTTCCTTTTCTTTAGACCCAGATTATACAGTTTTGGTTTTCTTTTATTCAACAGAATACATTGCAAGATAGGAAACCAGTGTGACAGAAGCTTGATGATTTTCGTTTAGCGTTAATGACATTTGAGAGACAGGGTTAATACTGCACAAATGTCAGTTGTTTCGAGGCAAAGTTGTTTGTCTTGAATAACATTTTTTTTATTCAGGAACCCGGTTTTTCAATAATTGGTTTTTGAGACAAATGTATTTAATTTTGAGATTCTGTCACCTCACAAAAGCATAAAAAAAACAGTGTCAGAAACAAAATATAAACATTAAAAAAATACAGAGGCTGTGACAGGGAAATTGATATTTAAAGAGAAAACGCAATCTGAAACAGATGAGTTTTGAGTTGCATTTTAAAATGGAGAATTGAGTCTGTGTTTCTAAGTAGGGGTGGTAGAGAGTAAAAAGCTAAAAAGGGATTTTTTTAAATATAAATTAAACGAGATGTGTAGGTACTTTGCTTAAATATATTCTGGTCATTATTGCTCATTGACATGAAATCACAGTATTGGTGTTAAAGAAAATGCAGTTAAGGTCCTTTATAATAAGTGGCACTATTATAGTGTACAGACGTTTAAGACATCAGGAAATATTTGATTTATTTCAGAGTATTCAGGAAGCAGTTTGTAAAACTTCCAGTGTCTTTGAAATGTTCTTTTTCTTAAGCTTTAAATTAGACTGTTGAGCACTGGAGGTTGCAAACAAGTAATGTTTTCACATTGTGGAAGTAATCTCACCACATCGACCAGCTGAGAGATCTTGAGTCCGAATCGAACCCTGACAGTGTCGTTGGCTCGCTGGATGGGCCGAACCCAGCGCTGATACCCCTGGAATAGGTTCTTAAGCAGGTTGTCCTCCATTTCCGCCAAGGAGACACATTTACTGGGAGAAGGAGCTACAACAAAGAAAATTTGGATAAAATCCTCTACTATATTCTAACTTTGAGTCTTTCATTTTGACTATAATATTCCTCTATTCAAGTTCTATAACTTATAAGGAATTAATATCCTAACAACCATACACAAGTAACTTATCCTGTCTAATGTATTTTTAGACAGCAGTTAAACTAATGTTACTTGGTTAAAATCTCTAGTAAATTTATGCCTGAAATGCTTTACACGCATAATTTTACTAGAATACCTGTTTATTAGATAAAATAGGTGGTCAGAACTGTACATTCTACACAAACAACAAATCACACAAGTATGAGATCAGAAATGATGTGGATAATACTGTTTTCAGAGAGTAGAAACTCAGCATGTATGTCAGTCTTTGGAGGTCTCTAGAGGAACAGAATCTGAAACACTGATATGACTCAGCTATAATATCAGAGAGAAATTAAATATATCTGGGAGGGTGGGGGGTGGAGGGGGTAGAGCTCTTTAACCTGTCACAGAGTTACATCAAACTTTAGTCTGACAGCAGGTCTAAACTGTGCTGTATTTATTCCCATGAGTGCATCCTGCACATTCAAGGACAGTTACAGGAGGCTGGGCACTGAAACTGGACTCTTGTGTTCTTTTTAGCTGATGAACAAACAACTTTAATAGAGGTCATTGTTCTGCTGAGTAGTCCAAAACTTACTGATGCATCACTGCAGTAAAGTTTGTTTCATCAAGTGAAATAAACACTAAACCTTTAAGCAACACTATTTTTTGCATATCAGTTGCATTTTATATTAATTAAAGTTTCCTGTACAGCTACTTCCTATAGAACGATTTAATAGAATATCTATTTAAATCATTTTTCATTAAAAATTATTTTTAAAGTTACATCCCAAACTGTGTAACTGCTTAATGTACATAAGCAATGTTTTGGTTTTATTAACAGTTCATGTTATATTTGGCAAACTTGGTACACCTTTGCCATGCAGTGCACGTGTGTGTGTTAAAAGTGGCTAAACAGTGAAAAAATCTTAAACAATCACAAATATGGCCATAAATAGTTTGCTCACCGGCACCATGGCACAGAGGACACACTGGGAGGAGAAGCAGGAGGAGGAAACCCGACAACTTCATGTTCTTTCCCAATCCCGCTTGTGGTCTTCTTGTGTTGCTATGATCATCATGTCCCATTTTCACGACAAGCAGAGTTTCCAATCAGCGTGCGTAAAACATCCCACCGCGCTTCTGTGGTTTCCTTTCGCCCGGTATGATTGTGCGTTTGGCTGTTTATTGCAACTCCTGTCGATGCGCTGCAGGAAGCAGCACCACTGTGGGAAGGACGAGAGAAGGGGGGAGGGGGGTGGTGGTGCAGAGATGAGGGCTCCTGAAGGGGATCTAAAGCGCAGTTTCCTTGGTGTTTTTAGGTAAGTGCCTTATAAGCCAAGGAGGATTTTATCCCTGATATATACGTTAAATATTTGTGAAAAGAAACACTAGGTATACTGCTTACACCCCACAGAACATATTCTGCCTTAATTGCTTGGGGAGTAAAAACTGTAGACATTAATGGACTTTAATTGGTTATCTTGACAGAAAAAAATTTTATTTAACGGGAACCTGAATTAATATTAATTAACATTAAGCCTACATCTTAAAGATTGTTTGGTTTTCTTCTTTTACACAGAAACATTTACAAATGTAACTGAAAGACAAACCACAGACCTGTATGCCATTGTTCAGGTGAGAATGGCTTCAGGGACGCCCCATGATCAAATAAACAAATTAATTGGTATAGACATTCCAGAGGTGTGGGAAAAAAAAAAAAAAGATTGGAATGCCCCTTCAGCTACATAAGTTGATATCCAATAGAGATCTGACATGGGAGTTGGGTCCGTGCTTGTCTGCCTGGTGTGTTTCCTGGACCGGGCCACCTTTTACAGTTCAAACTGTTCCTGTTTGGCTGTGACTCCATCCTGGAGAGAAATATCAACTGTGCTGCTGCCATCAACACCTTTGCTTATAGATGTTGGAGAGCGGCCTGTTTTTCCAATGTAGTCCTGTTTTTCTGACTGTGACTGGCTGGATGTGCTCTCTTCATCTTCTGACATGGGAGTTGGCTCAGAGCTCATCTGCCTGGCTGTGTGTTTCCTGGACGGGGCCGCCTTTTACAGTTGCTTTTTGTATCTCTGCTTCTGTTTCCTTGAACCCCAGTCGGCCTCGCCAGATGGCCGCTTGTTAGCTTTAAAAAATTGTGAGTTCATATAGGACAACAAATGAATCTGACACACCAAGGGATTTTAAAACACATTTTCCTGCTCACATTTCAGCACCTTTCTGCCCCCCACCAGAACAGCAGAGTCTTTTATTAACAGATCACAAGCAAATGGGTGGGTCTTAGGACAGAAGACCCTGTAATGATTATTTAGCTGGATGCAGGTCATGAAACAGCATGACCCTGCTTTATGACCAACTGGCTGGAGGCAGGTCATAAAGTGAAATGATCCTGAAATGACCCTGTAATGTCTAACTGGCTGGAAGCAGGACTTTAATGTTTCATATGCACACACATTAACTTTATAATCATCATTGAATAAACACTGCTCACATACAATAAAGAGAACATACATCATACATCAACATACGGTACAATAAAGAGAAGACCCAATTGGTGCTAAATGAAATGACCTAACTCAAAGTAGGATCAGTTAAGACAAAGGCACAATATAACAACTAGTTAAATGAAAAAATAGGATTCCTATTTTAAAGCTTGCTAATTTTTTTGTTGTTGCTGTTGTCTTTGTAATTAATTTAGTTTCTTTTCACATTTGACTAGGGACTCACATACTTCATGCAGAAACAGCCACTTTATGTTAGAAGTTTTGTTATTTATATTAAGAGATTTACACTAAATATTTTGTGAACTGTTCAACAGAAATATAGTTTTCGTGGTTTCATTTACATTTAATTTGTTAAATGACTTTTTACGAAATAGTAATAGTACCTCCACTCTGTTCACCACTTTAAAAGGATTATGTATCTTTTCTTATATCCAAAGGAAGAATAAAAATATGCCAAGTTCTGTATTGGAAGTACAAAGGAGGAGGTGAATGTTTCCTATCAGCCCCCAATCTTGTACTCAAAATTTGGCAACTGTTTATTCAAAGTAAGCAGATTGATAGACTTTGTGCTGATCTTAGAAGACAGAAGAGCTGATAAATTTAACTTTGAAACCCGCTATAACAAGAAACCATGTGTTCTAGTGCGACTTACAATCTTTCATTTGTTGTGTAGCAAATGAGGTGGTAAGTTTTGAAAAGTTCTTTTTTTGTTAACTACATGACAAAGTTCCTTGGTTACCCAATAATACCTTCACAGTTTGAAGTGGTTAAAATAAACATATGTGAGAAAAAATGAGACACGCAGGCAGAATTTTCTGCATTTAGTTCACATTGGCTCCTCTGTTAGCCTTCTTTATACTCTTCTTGAATCATAAATCGATTTACTGTTTACAGGTCAGAACAAAAGCACCAGGATAAAACAACAACCATGACTCATTTAAAACCATTAACCTCCCATAAAACAGAAAACTCTCTAATGGTGGGAAGGTGAAAAAGCTTTAGAAACCATTGCTGTGGCCTGCAACACATCTGATGGAGAAATGTGGGAAGTGTTATATTTACTGTGCAGCACCTGCTGATTTCTCAGCGGTTGCTGTTCGATAGAACAGGACAAATTCACTTATATCCGTCCTTGTAGCTTTTGATATTTTCTAATATAACTAATAAGTAAAACACTGTGTGGAGCAACTAAGGCAATTACACACATGCACACAGCAGTTATTAAGGGCCCAAATTCCACACATGAGACTGCAGCAGCTCAGCTCAGAAATGTGTCCTCAGTTTCCAACTGAGAGGAACAAAATTAACATTGGGGCAAAATCATGAGGATTAACTGAATAACTAAATAAAACAAACAAAACAAGATGGTTCCAGCATTGTTGTGATATTTATCAAAGGGAAAGCCAACTTTTCCTCAAATAAGATTTGATATATTCATATGCATATATTCTGCATTAAATATATGCATTTTTCTTTTTGTAGCATTCCTCACCCTGTTTTTATTTTTTATTTTACTCACTTCACTGTAAGCTCCTCGTTTCCCTGCTTCCTAGGGTGGGAGTGACAGGGATAACAGGAGGCTGATTATCACAATGAAATTATCCTAATTTTCTGCTCCACTTGGAGCCGTGGGGTGGGCAGCTGCTGCCTCTGAGATCGTTCTGTCCATCTCATCTCTAATCATTCAGAGACTTAGATTCTCACTGGCTGGAAAGCTGCCCATCTCTTCCCAGCTTACCGGAGACAGCTGTTTGAGTGTGTTAGTTGATGTATACAGTTTCTACAGCTATGTGGTAATCAAATTATGTTTGTTTGAGTTTATTTTCCATCCTGTTTTGGGTTATTTTGCCTTCTCAGCTTTAGTTGTGCTTACAATTAAAGTCTGCATAATTTCAAAGAAAAATTTAATTGATAAGGGGGAGAACGGCTGTGTCTCCCTAGGCCTAAGGGTATTTTATTGTTATTTCAAGGATTTTCCTTTAAAGAAAATATGATTAATAAAGGGGTATGGTACAGAGCAAAAGAAACTTATCTCTCATTCATGCTTTAAGGGCAAACACAAAGTTTTACATGTGGCAATAAAATGCTCCAAGATAAGTTTGTTCATATTAGAAATTCCCACAAGAATTTTAAATTAGATGTTTTGAATCTCATAAATTCAAAATTACCCATATTTCAACATTGCTTCAGGTTGGTTGTTTGATACTTTAATTCCCCCAAAGAATGGCAGATGAATCTAACAGGGAAAACAATAAAAAAAAACTCATACATCCAAAAATCCTCGAACTGAATAACATTGAAAAGGGTTAAAAAGGTAGAATATAGCAAAAAATGTTTTTTTGTTGTTTTATTTTATTGATTACCTTGATCCAGTTCTGAATGTTGCTACTTAGGATCTTCTAAATAGCTAACAGAAACATTAGCTTCCCCCTTCTTACTCCACATCAGCTCACACTATCATTGACTTGAAACATAACACTTCCCTTCAGCTGCCTCAAACTGATTTTCCTGTGATTTCATCTGACTGATCTAATTAAAAAAGGCAATTGATGGAAAAAAAAAATTGCCTGTCTGACATTATAACAGTACAGTCTCTCAGAAGAGCAATTATCACTTCTACAACCTATGAAACTATAGGATGCTCTTTCTGCACTTCCATATATTGGTATGCAAACTTGAAATTATGTATAGTCATCAACGTTTTACACAAGCTGGTTATTTGATTTTTTTTTTCAGGAAAAAAAAAGGTATAAAATACATCTAAAATATAGGAGTACAGTTTTATTAAGTAAGTGGATAACTTTTAACATGGGGATGACACAATGCTATCTGTGGTTAGGGAGGTGTTGCTTTGTGTGGGTAATGAATATTTTGTTTTCCTATGCAACAGTTGTGCAACCGTTATGCAAATAATGCAACCATTTTTGGCGTTTACTTAATCATATTTAGTTGTTTTATCAATTGTATTATGTCCAGCCATGCTAATATGAAAAAAATTGGGTTAAAGTAACTAAATATGATTCAGTGCAGGAAATGCCAAACATGGTTGCATTGAATCCGAATGAATAGTGTGATTCCCAAATGTTTGGCACTGTCATCAGGGTCACCATTTCAGAGTGAATAAAATGGTTTAATGTTAAGCACAGGTATTTTTAGAGTATTTATTTTCAATAATAAAACAACAAGAATGATGATATTCCTGTGGTTTATGGCCATTTAAAAACCTTTAAGGAATGGCTTCGAAATGCGTTAATCCCCTTTAATCTGATACATCTTAAACAATGCAACTCTATACCTGACTTGTCAGGAATATTGCTTCATCTTCAATCTTTTTATCTCTTATTCTTAAATAAACCTGAGGTCTTACAATACACTGGATTTATGTTGGGATTATTAATATTTTCCAATGAGACAACATCTGAAGGTAACGGGTTGTACAGATTTTTCTTAGGGGTATCAGATGGGAGGGGGCTGATCAACATTTAAATGGAGCAAACTGGGGAAAAAAACACAGCTTTATCACTGAAAATGGCTACTCTTGTCAATGGTGTGTGGATACTTTTGATTGACTCTTGTTGGTGATTAGAGGAGAGTTGTTTATTATGCTTTTTAGTGCAAGTGAGGTATACAATTTTTCTTTTTCTGTGTATCGATTGAATTCTGAGAACATTCATATATAATACTATAAAATTATGTCTCCACATCTCTTTATGCTTTGTGTGTTTATATTCAAATCTGCTTTTGTCTATCTATGCTTTACTGATGCTGAAACGTTTGTGGACGTTGCAGCCTCTTACAACAAAACAACAAAAACAAACACATTTCTGTTCATATTAAAAGCGTTTTGTTTTTACTATTAAGAGTAAAATACAGTTTTACAAAGTTGCATATATGTTTTATAACCTTTATATGCCTCAAGGACAGGTTGGACAGATAATGAGATACTTTATGTCAAATTGCCTTTAAATATGGTGTCAAAGATTTATATACACTGTAAATATTTTATTTTATTTTTTTGCTTTTAGTTAAATGTGCTATAATCTGTTGGTGTTTTGATGCTGTTTTTTGACATGTAACATTTCAGGATTTTATTCTTTTCTGTGTTTGCATTTGTCATTTAAGCCGCTGAAATGGTGAAAGTGAGTGATGCTGCAATCGCTGTCCAAGGTGCTGAATCCGTCACAGCCTCCCTCTAATGAAAGTGTGACTGAAGTGCTGCCTGCATCTGCACTTTCACACGTCCTCTCACACTTTCCAGCAGAAGAGGGAGAACCCTAATTCTAAAAAGCCCTCTCAGGATACAAGGGTGTTATAAAGGCTTTATAATGTTTTTTTTTTCCAACAAATCTTTTAAATCCTGATGATTTTTAATAAGGCACACAAGCTGTAATAGATTATACCTAAGCATAAACAATTAATAAGTGGAGAGAACTTTAGCCACCACCAATGCCACTACATGTGGATTTTGAATAAAAATAAAAAAAAATAAAAAATTAAAAAAGAAAAAAAAAACATAAACATGCCTTAAAAATAAACCTACATTAAAACGTTTTTCTTTCTTTTTTTTGTTTCAGGCCTACCATCGTATTTTTACGTCCCAGGATTGACAGAAGAAAATAGTTTTAATCACATGTTCGGGAATTTTTCCATCTTCAAAATTAAAAATATCATTGCAGTTTATTCACACACTTTCTAATGAATTTTTTCCTGCTTATTTATATATAAAGAAAGCCAATTATTATTTGCTTTGACTACAAAGGAGAAAGGACTGATCCTCCAGTATGAAGCATTTACTAAGAACAAAATATACAAGTGTCTCAGGCCAAAATGCCTATCATCACTGACTGTATATGCTTCATATGTTAAATTTTCAGTGTGTATTTCACATAGCATGATCCTATGTACCATGGTGCCCGGTACTTTTTAATCTTGTGTTAAAAGCCATTCGTCAAGAACTGCCTTTTGACTATTAAGGTTAAACTGTTCCCCTGAAGTATAATTCATTAAAGTTTGTTGTACATGTTTTATTTGCTTTACTACCTGCTTTTATCATGTTTTTTATCTTTACTTGCTTTTATTTTCTTCTATTTCATGTATCAGCCTCTGCATGTGAGGGTAACAGTGATGCAGGAGTTTGCCATACAACCAGAGAGTTGCAAGATATTGTGTCCTTGGGTAAGACACTTCATTTTTCCTATGGCTGTCTGGTTGCGCCTTTGTACAGCAGCCTTGTTTCTGTCAGCGTGCCCCAAGGCAGCTGTGGCTATGGCTTGAAAGGCGATATATACGTACTGGACATTCACCATATTGCTTGGTAAGATCTTCCGAAAATATCATTGAGAATGACAACTTTGGGAATGATGTTGTTTCAAAGTCTGCTTTGCCTATTATCAGGCTAGATCCAGCTAATCATCATATTTGTAAAATAAATTAAAAAAACAAATGTTTATTTTCTACATGCTAGAGTTGTCTGCTCATAACCCTTTAAAATAACTCTACACCAAAAATGCTGAATGTGCCTTTTACTCCCACATGTGAATCTAATTCAAATTAGCATTAACCCAAAATGGATGTTTTGCGTAAAGGAGCCTTGATTGTTATAGATAACTGGAATTAAACTAATTAATGATTTCCTGACTGATTAAACAACAAACAGAAGGGAACAAAATAAGTTATTGTTAAAACATTTCAAAATGGTTGAAATATGTTGGTTCATTGCCCATCTATAAATATTAATCAAGGAGTAAAATTAGAAACTTGCTCTTTAGGAGTAAGTGTGGGTAGTAATCTAGTGCAAGTAGGGGCTAGTTTAAGTGGGATAGGACTCTTTATCTGTGTGTGCATGTGTTCTGAAGGCTCTCATTGAAATGAATTATTTAGCTGAGAGTCTTCTTTGCTTATCCACGGTTGACTGGCTGCAGGCATGTACCATTCTGCACCCAGTGGCTAAAAAGAGCAGCCTAATTCACCATCCGCCTCTCTCCAGTGCAGTGACCCTGTCTCATCTTGTAATCCTACCCTGAGTTTCTTTAACATGTGTGCAGGTTGAAGAAGAAGAAAAAAAACGACTTTGATGTAAAGGCTGAAAAGTATGAAGAAAAAGACAATAACAAAATAAGGAACATGCTCTTGAAAATATATTTTTAGGGTGAGTTGAAAGTTTTTCTTTTTGTTTAAAAACAAATATAACCAAATTGTATATAACCAAAGAATAATAAAAGATAAAACAAGTCATTATAAGCCCAAAGGCAATGATGGTCTGCCATCCTTAAGTGGGATTCCAATAGTAAAGAGCCAGTTGCGACAAATCATGTAAAATATTCATCCATGTGCAGGTCTTAATAATGCATTATCACTGAATATACCACCCAAAGCTTTGCAGCATTCGGCTATGACCTGACTGCCACCAAGTACTTGAAGTACAAGAATCAAAGATTCTGCTCTTTTTTATATCAAAGGAACATCATTTTAAATTCAGCCTAAGTGGCTAAAACTGTCTTGAAGTTCCTGATTTCTAAGTCTTTTATTCATTGCGTTGGTGAAGTCAGAGAAAAAAAGTTGTCCTACAGCAAAGAAGGGGTTAATGAAAGGAAAAAATGATAGACATGAACAGCAATGTCCCACTGGTTTACTATCTCACTCTCTACATTATTAATTTTAGAGGCATGGCAATAAGTAGAGCCTGTTAGAGTTTCATGCATCAGACAGCTGCTGTCCAAATATAGACTGAAAAGCCGGTAGATCTTTAATTGACATACTCAAACTGTCACAGGGAGAAGCTGATGTAGCTCTGTCAGGCTGAAGACTGAGACAGATTGGTTACTGTGAGTGTCTGTACTACAGCTTCTGCTTCATCTCCATATTTAGCTTCCATCCTTCCCTTAATCCGACTTTAGTGAATCTCATGCTACCTAGAGCACATAGGAACTCACATATACATGCATGAGCTCTGTCACCGTCTCAACCATTCATACATCTTCAGGAGAAACGTGCAGCCTTTATGTTTTCCTTTCCAACACACACACTCACAGACAAATGTGTACATGCTCACTGAGTGCACTCAAGAGGGGATTAGACTGAACTGTTGAGCTGTTTTGAGGCATAGGATGGGCTACTCAAATCCACAGTCACACTCTATTTTAACTGAGATGTTGAGCTGTCACTACCCTAAACCCTCAGCAGATTTGCGGGAATGTGTTTGTTAGAGAAGGCAAGGCATATTCCGCCCCACGTGTGACCTTTAAGAGAAGGTTGGAAATAAAGAACCTACCTCTTCTCTTTTTTTGAGTCCACAAAAATAAGATTGTGTATTATTCAATGTTCTTTGAGATGAGAAAAGACTAATGTCATATGATAGTTTATGCAAATGCCTCCCTATCATAGAGCTTCGCGAAATAATAATTTAAATAATTCCCACAGAGGTTCCTAAAATAATCATCATTTGAATAGGCTCATTTACATTATGCTTTGAAAGTTTTTTTTTGTTTGTTATTAAAATTTTACAAATACAATGTTATGCCAAACTAGAATATGAGTATGTTAATGAGTTACTATGTTAAATAATCATGATTTCAATACTGGAACAATTAATGCACCCATCTAATCACAATAGGAATCAGGACCTTCTGTTGCTCTGGAATTCACTGCAATCTCGCCTACCAAGTCTCTCTCGATTCAAAAATAGTCTAAAATCGCATCTCCTTCTTTGCCTATCTTGGTGTATAGGCTACTTTTTTTTCTGTAGTATTTCTGTCCAGTCTTAAAAGTTTGATTAACATTTTATTGTTGCCTTTCAGTTGTAGTCTGATTCCAGTCTGGAAATTCAAACTATAGGCTATTTAGAACACATTTTTAAAATGTAAGCTTCCAGGCTTGGAAAAAAAAACACACTTAAACAATAAAAACCTTCCAACCACAGAAGCAACACCTACTTTGAATGACTTTGTATCCAATCCCTTTTTATAAGAAATTTGTTCATCCTTGTTATAATCTTGACAAGTTGCACTATAAATACTAGAATGTGTCTCTTTTAATCAGCTGACAGTGAAGGTGTTGCTCCATTTGTTTAACCAGTAGTAACATACTGTAGCTCTTTACTGCAATCTATATTTGACAGACTTAAATCAAATAAGCTTTGTAACTTTTTTTTCTGTGGTTGTTTTTGGTTTAGACTGCAGTAAACATAAAATACACTGAAAAAAATAATGCAACCGCTTTTGGCATTTACTTACGGTAATCATATTTAGTTACTTTAATACAATTGTTTTATGTCCTACCCTGCTAACCTGAAACAATTGTGTTAAAGTAACTGAATATAATTAAGTAAATGCAAAAAAACGGTTGCATTACTTTTTTTAGTGTATATCAATATAAAAAGAAAAAAGATGAAATACAACGAAGAAAACTACAAACAGGACACTTTAAATGAGTTCCAATAAACAGTTTTATTGTTTCATCTTACAGGTTTAATTGTTTAATTCAACATTTTGTTGGAAACAGTGAATAATACATTCCAAACTCCTGGTCTGAATGCATATCTTGTATATACCAAATGTCGTCGTTAAGGGTGCAAGGCTACCATGCACTAGAATTACTTTCTACAGGAAACGTCAAATACTGGTACATGAATGCTTTTGGAAAAAAAAAAAAAAAAAAACACTAAACATTATCTTCATCACCAAACATCTATCTACTGTAATTTGCAGAAAGAGAAAAAGAGTATATTGTGCCATAGTTCCTAACAGTGTTATCACTGGTTTGAAATGACAAAGTGCTACTTTAAAGGTATTCATAGTTTTATTCTTTAAGTGAAAAATGTTTCTAAGAATTTCTTAAAAACTGACATCTGAGCTGCAGCGCCAAAGTGTGAAAAGATGTCAACAGATGGAGTCCCTGGAACAACACTGAAGAGGTGTAAAAGAAACAGAGGGGAGACAATGAGATAGTCAGGTAAAAGGAGGAAAAGTTTGGAAAATATGTGATCTGTGAGCAAGGACAAAATGAGTTAGTATTGCTATAGCATGCCATTGAAAGTTAAAAAAAACAAAAATAAAAATGAGGACCTACAGCTGTAAGCTAGAAGCTATAGATAATGAAGGCCCTCTAAAGATGCTAAACACACAGAGTGAGATAAGCCTGAAAAGGAACAACAGTAGTTTTGTGCTTGATTTGAAAATGTGCAGAATATTTCCAGGAGTAACTTAAGTAAGGTACAAAGAAAACGGGGTAGACAAGAAAAGCAGCTTGGAAAAGAGGCAAGACAATTTAATCATTTAAAGAAACTTATAAGTGGCTGCAGGAAGAGTCCCAGAGTTCCCAGCACACACACTGTCACAAAAACCCAGAGGAAAATCCTGTCGATGACCATGGCAACATACTTCCAGTCATCCTCCACCTGAAGAGAGAACAGAAATAGAACATTTTACAGAAATATTTTGAAACTTATGAAGACACCTGTTATTAATCACAAGTTTAGACGTTTTAAATCAAGAAACGTGAGTCCTGTTTGTGGCACAGCATAGGGTTAAAGCTGGTCTAGTCCACATGTTTTTTTGTTTGCGTTCACTGAAAGCCTTGAATACAGTTAAAAACTGTATTTAAGAAAATAAACACAAAAACAGTTTTTGTAATTTGTTTTGGTTTAGGTTGTTTGTTTTCTAAAAGACTTCTGGAGCCAAGCATATTTTCCTTGTGCTATATATGGGTTTCAGGTGTGCAAAACAAGATTATGATTAAACTGTGACCAATATAACGCTATTATGCATTTTGAGGAAGCAGTTTAACTATTCTCCAATCCTCGAAGCAAGATCCCTGTAGCTGAGAAAAAAAAGGAGCTGACGCAACAAAGATATCAGGACCATCCAGAGTGTGAGGAGGGCATGCAAATAAACAAAAACCCTGCTTCTGGAACAAACAAGCAGCTTTAAGTTCCTGATATAGCCAAGTGAAAATGCTTTCTGCAGAGTTTACAGAGAAGGGTATAAATATACTAACAATGCAAAGGTGACACAAATGCAATTTCTGTGTGTGTTTATGCACAGCTGTTTTTTACATAAACTATGAAAACAAAATCATTCCACTAAACTTAACAGGCTAGATAATCATTAAAAAATATTAAGAATAATCAATTCATATATTGTTTTATGTACCAATTACTGTTCACTTTATTAATACATAGGGCGTAACTTAATCTGATGAATCAGGCTAATGCTGTTCAGCATCAATGAGTCAGTTCCCCATAAGTCTGATACAGTTAATTTAAGTCCCTGATAAACAAACAGTTTACAAATATCCCTGTTTAGAACCAGCAGATCCTTGGACATTAAATGTTTCTCAAAACAAGTTTTATTGCCTCTGTCTCCTGTTCAAAGGTGTAACTAGAGATATCCGACTATTAAGTGAGCTTTTGCAACAACCCATCATTTCAGTTAGAGTTTTATCTTTTTGCATGCAGTTTCAGTACATGCAGTCTAAACAGTCAGATTATTTTTTGCTGTTTTTTTTTTTTTTTGCGTAACAGGATGATGTAGACTCTGAAGAACCAATAATGTAGCAGCACTCTATAAAGCAGTCTGAGAGTTCAGAAAAGCTGATTGTATCAACAAAAAAACCTCAAATGCTGAAAAGAAACACATAAAAAATTGTAATTGATTACTGATCACATGTTATGGGATTCGTATTATTTCAAGTATTATTGTTATTTATTTCTTATTGTTTTCTATTGTAAAATGTGTGCAGCATCACTTTACAAAGCATCAAGTTTCAAACAATTCCCTTGGGCCCTTTCCAGCTCCAGTCATAGGAATTTTCTGTCTGACACTGAATACTAATTTCAAAGTATTGTTAGATCTTCTCTGGAGAGACAAACTGAATCTGGTTAGTCAAAGAATTCTAATACTTACACAAAACATCAACCAACACTTAAAAATAAATACTTGCTTATGTACCTCCTTGGCTTTGTTGCGTGTCCTCATATTTTCTGCAATGTATTTTACACTCTCGATGGCCTGCTTGATCTCTGGCGACACCACAGAAAAGGCAACCACGGCATTGACTGGCGACGAGGCATTCAGAGGCCTCGGCACCTTGGGTAGCTCCGACTCCGGAGGCCTCTGAGCTGGGGTGGCTTGAGGAGGAGGAGGGGGAGGAGGGGGAACCATTGGTGGTGGAACAGGAGTTGGTACCTCCTTGCCTCTGTAGGGACATCTCCTGGTCATGTCTCGGTGAAGGTCACGGTTTATGTCCCCATATTCCACACAGTTCATAGAGCCACCAGCTGAGGAGGTTCCTCCACCTCCTGAGCCACTATCCAGCGGTGGGCATGCTACACCTCCAGCTATACCACCAATACTAACACTTCCTGAGCTGCTTCCTCCTCCTATGCTGGTCTTTCTCTTCTTAATTGCTCCGCTGCTGATTCCTCCTGCTGCTCCTGTGATTCTGGCAGGTGCTAAACAGCCCTGGTCAATAGGCCGTCTCATCAACATTACTCTTGGCAGCACCCCAAGGAACACCATCCTTACCCACTCCGGCATTGTGTGAGTCATTGGGGTACGGTAGTGGACATTCAGCACAAAAACAGTGATGACGATGCTTAGAGTCACAAAGATCATGGTGAAGAGAAGATACTCTCCAATCAGCGGGATGACGAGTGATGTTGAGGGGATGGTTTCAGTGATGACCAGCAGGAACACAGTGAGGGAGAGGAGGACTGAAATGCACAGTGTGACCTTCTCTCCACAGTCCGACGGGAGATAGAAGACAAGCACCGTGAGGAAGGATATAAGGAGACATGGAATAATTAGGTTTATAGTGTAGAAGAGAGGTAAGCGGCGGATGTAAAAAGAGTAGGTGATGTCTGTGTAGATTTCTTCACAGCAGTTATACTTTATGTCATGTTTGTATCCAGGTGCATCAATGACCTCCCACTCCCCACTTTCCCAGAAGTCTTTCAGGTTGACCTGATAAAAAAAGAGGGACACATTAGAAAATAAATCCTTATATTAGCAACTTTTGACTTATCTCTGATTCCTCTGTTTGAGAAACAAAACAAAACAAACAACTGATACATAAAAATTATGTACAGTGTCATATTTTAGATCAACAAACTAAACCAGGAAGGAGAAATATAAAAAACATTCAATTTTGTTTTTGTTGGAAAATAAATATATACAAATTAAAGATCTGATAATACACTGCTAGGTAGCTGATTAAAACAAAGTTGCTTTACAACATAGATTATTTCATATAGTATTTGCAATCAACATAAGCTTCCATACATGGCATTTCTTAATCCTATATTTTTTAACTTACAGCTTACAGACCTCAAATGACTAAAAATACAACATTTTCATTTGTTCTCCATGTTTAAGTTTGAGTGAGAAAGCATTGCTAGCTGCTAATTAGGGTCTTCTCAGGTAGCAAAGCTGAATCTATTTTATGCTCAGTTAAAACATGGAGCAGAGATGGAAGTGGAAGGGACTACTCCCACCCATTGGTGAGTAAAGTTGTTTAAATTTAAAACATAGGAGCCAGAGACGCCAATGACCAACAGGGCATATTGATTCTTTAGTCAAATCCTTAAATCTAGCAAAGTTGCTATTTCAGCAGCATCTTAAATGAGGAACTTATTATTTTATTAAGTCTCCTAATCAATATGAAAAGAGAATGAATAACTTAATTCTGATGTAACTAAGCCATGTTTGCTGGCTGTCTTGACCCTTTACACCTTTTTATCTACGTCAAAGAAATCTTTAATTGGACTAGATTCCAGGCTTTGTTTTCATCACCCCAGAACTTTAGCTTTGGTGTCTTTAACCCACTGTGTAACTAATTTGATGTTATGCTTAGGCGCAATTCGAATATATCAAATAGTTGCCTCTGGCTCCTGTTTCTTTTCCTTTTTAATGTGATCAGCAGTATGAACACTATCACAGATAGGAAAAGAACCCCAACATCCTGTGCATTTCGCACATCATCACACGGCAGAGATGCACATGGATGACACTGATAAAAATTGTGACTACACAATAAACACAACTTGCACAAATTACAAACAAAACAAACATATGAAGGTGTGTACATTTAAAACTGTCACACATAGATATACTGTACATATAAACTGCTAGGTGTTCTGTGCTCATAGGACATGCCAAGCAAAGCATTGTGGGACTTCGTACAGCTCCTTAGAACAAGTTAGGAAGCTCAATATGCTAATGCAATATGATAGGAAGCATACAGGCTACTTTTCTCTCCGCCTTCCTTACTGCTAGCACTTTTAGCACTTATCATGACAACTAGTGACACGGCTCTGCTTCGGCTTAAGTGTTCTTACTGATTTATTGTATAAGGATTGAGCTTGGGTGTTTTGGCTTGAGACACTGTGCAGGTCATTTTTCTGACCACAATAAAATTACATGCTTGTTCTACTGAAAATCCTTCTGACCTTTGAGCCAATGAGCACCAAGTCGATCTTTGCTTTGTCATAAGTCCAGGACCCGAACTTCATAGAGCAGTTCTGGTAGTCAAAGGGGAAGTAAGTGATGTCCATTGGACAGGATGACTTGAATATAGCTGGAGGAACCCAAGTAATGGTGCCATCATATTTCAGCAGAGCTTTAGTCTTGTCTTCCACAAGAAAATCCCCAACAGCACTGTGGGTGAAATGTGTTAGGGTTAATACATTAAATTCTGAATATTAGAAGATTCAGGGAACACAACTGATATTGCAGTCATAAAGTCAAAAAGTAAACTTACAAGCTAAACATAGCTTTTCATGTTATGGCCAAATCTGAGACAAAGTATTTTCCAAAATGTAAAAAAAAAAAAAAAAATTAATGTAATGTCTCCATGAAGCAGAAGTGTTAGATTTCAATTAAAATAAACAGGTTACACCAAATAACTGATCCTATTTAGACAATATTATCCACCTTACTGTTGAAAAACAAAAAACATACTTGTTGTATAAAACAATATCTGGTCTCCAAATCTTGTTGGATGGAACTCGTATGAACTCGATACCATCAAATTCTACTGGAGTCCATCTCAGTTTGTAGTCATTCCAAACCTGAAGGATGGATAAAGCAGAAACTGTTGACATGCAGATTAAATTTAAAACTTACCACTGAGAATGAGAATATTAGCAACACTTACATGTCTCAGCCACAAGTTTGTTTCCATAATTTGATTCACTTCATCCTAAAAAAATTCAAAAAGATAAACATAGATAAAAGAACGATGGATGGATGGATGGATGGATGGATGGATGGATGGATGGATGGATGGATGGATGGATGGATGGATGGATGGATGGATGGATGGATGGATGG